TGACGCCACGACATCCTACCGAGGAAAATTGGGATCGTGACAAATGGGTAGAGTAAATCTATGCTTGCTTGGTAGATCGGGCTTTGTTATGACTCTCAATACACAACTACTCACTCAATGCCTCTCAGTTAAAGAGTGATTGTGCCCAAATTGGCTATCTCAAGTCCAAATGGGTAGCAATCAAAGCAATTGGATATGAGTCCAAGTTATATTATCCCTATCTCTAATTCAAATCCTTTAATTAAACTAATCGATACTTCAACTAGTTCAATTTCTTATTAGTCAATTTTTCCTAGACTAAATTCCTCTTTTTCAAGTAAGAACAAAGTCAAATAGAAATGAACCAATGTTTGCGACCATTAATTCTAACTTTAAAGCATAAACAAGGCTAAAGAACATTAACCCAATCAATAAAAAATATTAATATTAAACACTCATAAGTTTTACACACTAGGGTTGGATCATAACTCATAGCAATGGACATTGAAAAATGAAAAAAAGAAGAATTAAAGACATAAAGCTAAATTAAAGTAAAAAAGTATTTGATCCTCTCTAATTGTAGCTCAAAGTTTTCCCAAAATGGCTAAGAATAAATATCAGCTGACTGCTACAATACAAAAAGAGGCCCTAAAAAGTATTTCACGCCTATTTATAGTGCTCCGAAATTCCTGACAAAAATACCCTTCTTTCACGATCCAAAACCCAACCTGTCGTGATGGCGCCTATCATGCTACTAGGCAAGACGACTACTCAGACATTTCAAACATGTTCAAATTTGAAATATACCAAAACAGTTTAAATAAATAAAAATCTCATAAAACGGAATAGAATATCATAACTTAATACAAGAGTTTTCCCAAAAACCGGAGTGTCACTAAGTACATGAGCATCTACATAATGACATAGTCTGGTACACTATCTGGAAAGCAGAACTGAATAAATAAACTAAAAGATAGGGAAGATGAGTCAAGGCATGCGGAAGCCAAAATAGCTACCTCGATAATCTCCGAATGTCTGAACTCTTTGAATCAGCACCCGCCGTGACGGAAACACCTGGATCTGCACACGAGGTGCAGGGTGTAGCGTGAGTACAACCAACTTAAGAAGTAACAAATCTAATCTTTGGACTGAAAGTAGTGACGGGTCCGAGTATTACATCCCACACAAAACATTAACAGTACAGAAAGTTACAGAAAAATATGACAGTGGTATATCAGAAATTCATAATCTATATGTAATGGTACAAGAATTAGACATGCTTTCAGATTTTGCAATAAAACTCAATACAGAACAGGGCAGGTCCAACCCAGGGTAAATCCATCCCAAATGCAAATAAAACCAGGGTAGATCCAACCCAATTATAAATAAATTGCTAGTAACTGCTCCCACTGTGGATGTGCAGAGCCGGAGGGGCCGATCCAGCCCAAGCATTATAATAAGCAAAATCCTGGCATGAATCAATAAAGCCTACTGCGGCGTGCAGCCCGATCCCATGGATATCACTCACAATAGACCCTCGGCCTCACTCAATCATTAATCTCTCCAGTCTCTCGGGATCACAAGAATCATAATAATCAGCCCAAACAATGATGATATGATGCATCAATAAAGGACAACAGAGACTGAGATATGATATGCAAATAATAGATGTGACAGAGTATAAAATGGCAAGTTAAGCAAATAGTTCAACATGTAACACGACCTCTATGGTCCCAACAATAACAACACATAGCCTAAGCAGGATTTCTAACACAACTGGCAACTCGAATGCTCTAACACATGGTGAAAATACGTGTAACAACAAGATTTTTCAACTATACAGTTCCATGGAATCAATCAAGTCATAATTCTTACGGTGCACGCCCACCCGCTCGTCACATAGCATGTGCGTCACCTCAACACTAATCACATAACACATAATTCAGAGTTTCATACCCGCAGAACCAAGTTTAGAAGTATTACTTACCTCAAATTGTGCAAAACTCTACTCCATCAAGACCTTGCCACGCAAAATAGCCTCCGAATGACTCGAATCTAGCCACAAACAATCCGATACGATCAACTCAAGCTATAGGAATCAATTCCATATGAAAATGCAAAGTTCATAATCAAAAGTCAAAAAGTCAACTCAAAAGTCAACCCCCAGGCACACGTCTCGGAATGCGATAAAAGTCACAAAATCCGAACGCCCATTCAACCACGAGTCCACCTATACCAAAATTACTCAAATCTGATACCAAAATCTCGATCAAATCCCCAAAATTCGGCCTAAGGACTTTCCTCCATTTCCCCCCAATATTTCAACCCAAATTACTAATTAAATGATGAAACCTAAGATATAAATATGGAATTTAACCAAAACTAAATAAGGATCACTTACCCCAATCACTCCCTTGAAAATATCTCCAAGAATCGCCTCCAACCGAGCTCCCAAAATTAAATTTGTGAAAAAGGCTCAAACCCTCGTGTTTGAAATATTTAAGTTTGCCCAGGTGTACCTTCTTCGCAATCGCCAAAAATTCTTCGCAATCGCGAAGCACAAATCCTAAGTTGCTAAACTCAGACCCTACACGAATGTGGACAAGTCAACGCAATCCCGATGTATTACCTCTCCAGACCCACGCGTTCACATAAAGCAACGCACGTGACCAACTCCCCTTCCTTTCCTCTTCGAGAATGCGACTCCTCCCACGCGTTCGCAATGCATTGACTGCTCCAGCTACGCGATCACGTACACCTACTCGCAAACACATAGAGCAAAAATTCCATCAGTGGCCAACACCCCTTTGCGATCGCATACCTAACCTCGCAATCGCATAGAAGAAAACCAGACACTACACACCAACAAGCTTCAGTAGTCTCCTAATTCCAAATTTCACTCTGTTAACCATCCGAAATCCACCCGAGGCCCCTGGGACCTCAACCAAACATACTAACAAGTCCTAAATTACCATAAAAACTTACTCGAAGCATTAAATCACATCAAACAATGCTAAAACCATGAATCACATATTGATTCAAGCCTAATGAACTTATGAACTTCCAACTTCTACATTATACACCAAACCTATCAAATCAAGTCCGATTGACCTAAAATTTTATACACAAGTCACAAATGATACAACGGACCTACTCCAACTTCCAAAACCCCAATCCGAGCTCGGTAACTACAAAGTCAACTCTCAGTCAAACTTCTAAATTGTTACACCCTATATTTTTGTACATAAAAATGCGTCGTAAGCAAACTAATGTAGAACCAAAAATGAGATAATAAATACCTGGTCTATAATTTTGATAAAATAAGGACCGCTATTGGAAAATATCTTCTTCCTCTTGGTCGTCATCAAAGAAGTTGACGTCCGGGGCTTCCTCTTTCCCTTTAAAATAAAACTGGTGAAGTCCATCCTAAAGTTCAAAATCTACATCCAATACCAGAGGTTCCTGATGAGAAAAAAACCAAAGAAATGCAAGATGAGAAGGAGTCTTGGTGTTCTTTCATTTGATCTCTGAGTGCTTTATTTTTATTCTCCATTTCTTCCATCCTCTTTAGAACAGCAGTGAGGACGATGTCACCTGCATTGTCAGTAGCATTGTGAGCTATACTTGGTGTTGGAGGGTCTGATTGGTCGCCATATTCGTCTGCTCGTTACACTATGTAGGATCTTTCGGTCTCTGTAGTCGTGTTGTTGAGCACGCTTACTAGTGTATCGGTCAACTATGATTCGAGGAGCTTTTTCATGGCTGGTGGCATCTCTTCCCCCGTGGATGTGGAGGCCCCTTTTTCGTTTGGTTTTCTTATGCCACAATAGGGTGAAGGAGACCTCTTTCACCTGAGGGAGGCAGTGGGTGTCACATCATCACCTAATGTTTCACAACTCTCGTTGACAGCGTTTATGAGGTTACAAGGGAAATCACCTGTCACTTTAATCCTCTCTCTTTGGTTACCTGCCATGTAGGTTTTCCGTATATGCAAAGATAAAGAAAAATCTTGGGGTTTATTAGGTTAGTGACTCACATTAGCTGTAGATCTAAAGGAAATTAAAATGTTAGCTAAGAAGTCCCTACAGACGACGCCAAACTGTTTGACTAAAAATATAGATCTTGGTTCAACCAATTAGATTTAAATAAAGAAGAGTCAATCTTAGCTAATGATAATATCCTAAAGACAAAGCTATCGATTTTATAACAAATAACTTGTGTATTTGTCTGGATGGCAATGAATGTAAGCAATAATATCAGTATTCAATGATCCAAAAAGATAGAATATGGCATTAAATAGCAATAAATGGCATTTAAGTAAATAAAAACATGTGAGTCACCTGAAAAGGGGTGAGATCTGTGAATATCCTTTCTGACAATGATGAATGATTGATGAGCCCTTAGAACACTCAGGTTGTTCTTGGATCCGGTGGAAAGAATAGACAAGGATCTTAGCAAAAATGTTATTTTTGTATGCTTGTAATAAGGCCAGATTCTCTCTATAAAGTCAAAGTATTTTTTACAAATGAATATCTCATATCCCCTATCATTGTGGCTCTTCTACTCATAGGGAACATGTTCCTAGGAACCCTAATAGTACATGTATAGAGAATATTCACTAGAATATTATCTTTAGTATCCTATCTTGAAACTATCCATTATAACTCTATCAAGGAAGCTCGACCTTAACCTTGATCTTTGATGACTTCTCCACCTTGACCTTGATCTTTGATGACTTCTCGACCTTGATTCTTGCTAACTCTTTAACCGCAACCTTCATTGTTTCTAGAATCACTTCGACCTTAGGCAGGCCTTCGTTGGAGTCGTATTGGTGACACATGGAAGCCTGTGAATGCCTCCTTAATGCTAACATGACTTAATCATATTTGAGATAATTTTTTACCCATACAACTTTGACAAACGAAAAAGAGAAATAATTTTAAAGTCTCTCATAGAACTTGAACCACAGATCATGCAAATTGTAACAAAAGTAATAATGCTAATTAATTAAGAGTTCCTGCTTTAGCATATTTTTCAAAGTTAGAAATGTTACTACTAAAAAAAAAACTAATTCCAGATGGTATAGAAAAGTTAATACTACTTCCAGCATAACATCGATCATCATTAATTGAACAGAACAGTTATCTTCTGATGTGAGCAATAAAGGTATCTAACTCTTTCCTAGTAGCACCACCATCCACCATGGACTCTTTGATTGCATTGCCCAACAATTTGGCGTTCTTCCTCATGTCATCTCCTTCTAATGAAGTCATTAATCTTTTCACAACATTTTCAATAGTCATTGATGAAGCTAAGTTATCTTTACTATCCCATTTCCTCACATTCAAGCCTATTCTCAACACCTCTGTTATAAGCACAGCATTTCTTGGCTGGTCAACTTGCATAGGCCATGCTGCTATTGGCACTCCCATAGTAATGCTCTCCATACATGAATTCCATCCGCAATGACTCATGAACCCACCAGTTGATTGGTGTGCCAAGATTTCCAATTGGGGTGCCCAATCTTTCACTATAATTCCTCTTCCTTCTATTCTTTTTTCAAACCCTTCTGGCAATTGAGCTTCTACGAGTACATTATTTTCTTCTGTCGAAGCGTTTGCTTTGCGATCATCAGCAGTCCTTAATAACCATATGAATTTTTGTTGGCTTCGCTCTAAACCAATGGCTAGCTCATTGATTTGGTCGTGTGATAAAGAAACCGATGTTCCAAACGATATGAGTATCACTGAGTTTGGAGCTTGTTTGTCCAGCCACTCTAGACATTCATGTCGACGTACAATTATTGGACCCTTTTTCTCCATAATCACCATTGGATTAAAAGGGCCAAGAGCCCATTGCTTATCATTCCCCATGAACTTTGTAAGTAAATCAAGATAAGGACCCTCTATCACTCTGCTTGTATCATGAATATCTCCACATTTGATCTTTCCACATTCAAGTTGCTTCTTAAGAACTTCCAAGATTTCAGGCGGGTAAGAACTTTCAATGGATGGAAGGTTTTTTAGAATCTTCATTTTCCTTCTAATGTTAGGTGATGAAAACATCAAACTCGAGACCTTTAGATTGGCAAAAGCTTTCATAAATGATTTCAAGAGTCTTTCACTTACCATCGTAGGATGATTCGTCTTCACGTAAGCCGGAAAAAGCTTTGTGATGGCATCCCAAATGAACGAGTAAGTATTAAAAGCTGAGCTACTGTGGAAACAGTAAGCTTCCATATTAGGTATTAAACATACATCTTGAACAGTACAAGTCATTAGGGAGTCGTAAATAATTACCACCCTCCTATACTTAGCAGACACTTCTTTTAGAAAGGTAAAAACAGGTTCACGCAGCTGTAAAGTTGCGTGAAATAAACATGTCATAAGCTCTGTGCGAGATATTTGAGAAGAAATATTTAGTGATGGTGGTACTGGAAGTTCTTGAAAATAGATGGTGGACCTTGCATTTAGGTCCCAACCATGGACGCGAAGCTTTGCTTGCTTGATATGATCTTCAAAGCCAATATAATGTATTGGTAAATTATAAGACGATAAAAGACGAGAGAGATGGAGAAGTTGATTGAGGTGCCCTTGTACTGGAAAGGGCACCATCACTACAGCAACTTGTTTTTCTAAGAAATCATTTTGGTCATGGCTTTGATCTAAAGAGGCGCAACCACCCATTTTAAACGTCAAGATGAAATAATTGGCTTTTGCTAGTCTTTACTTATGTCTTGTGTTGGAGTTTATACAAGAAAAAGCTAGCTGTCTGGGATTTGTAAGATCAATGCCAAGATTTTGCGTCCCATTGAGATATACTTGATCAATAGTCTATCACCTTTCATCAAACGATTAATAAAATGTTAAAATATATACTCCTATTAAAATAATAAGCAGTGCTGTGCATCTACGGATTTGCTGTATTGCCAAGCTGTGATATATGCAATTGAGGGCTATTGCGTAGCACGATCTAAAATGCATTTTTCATTTAGTAGAGATACATATTATTGTTCGCTTCTAATTGCCAGATACTGATCTTAATGACAAAGACAAAGACAGGGTAGCTTATAATGGCAACTGCATTGCACGATATAATGCAATCTGATCTGATACTTGTATTTTGGGAAAATATTAGCACGTCTGCTTCAATGATTGAGTGATCAATATATTTGATTGTACTCAAGAATTTCGGGATACACCTGCAGAATATATACAAAATGTTTTCTACATTATATACATAATAGAATTGTATTCCATTATTAATTGATAAGTCCCTTCTCTCTGTTTTGTGTTCGAATTTTCTTCTATCATCAAAGTACTGCTTATAGTGCTCCACCTCAAATTGAGTGTTGTGTTTCGCTTATCTATGGGGTTGAATTTCATTATCTTTGACAAAAGAACTTCGAGGTGCATCATAAATAGTTAAATAACTGACCCATATTATATTTTATTCAGCTCAGGATTGAGATATCGTTGTTACTGTTATAACATGGTCTAAGTAAGTGCTAGATTATTGAAGTAAAGTATTTTAACTATCTTGAAAATAACATAAACTCTTGTATATTCACAAAGAAATCAAGACATCAAATATTGTTTTCCTCAAAGCAGAAGTGATCAAGAGAAGTTATTCCTCATTATCAACTCGAAATATTGTCTGGCTTCATGGAGATCAAATATCTCCCACGAAAGTCTGCATTATCATCCGTTCGAGTAACATGTTGTGAAAGAAACAAACCCAGCTGTAAATGAATAGTAAAAGAAAGAAATAAAAGTCAAAGAAATATTTAATGAAGAAAGAACAATATGCAAAAGGCAAAAGAAAGAAATGTATGTTGCACCAAAAGTCAGCGGCACCAAAATTCACATTGTAAGAAAAGAAGAAAATGTATGAGTTAATATTGGCGCATGCAAGAAAAGAAGCAGTGTTCATATTCTGATATTTGCTTATAAATAGGCATCATTTTCCTCAATTGTAAATCATCCCTCAAATTTCTTCTTTCTCTTCGGAGTAACAAAATATTTTTTGTGTGGCCGTGGAGTAGGCAAAAATTGCCGAACTACGTAAATTTTGTCTTGTTTTATTTTGCGAGTTTTTATTATTTTTCTCTTGAAATTATTATATCCTTCGTTTAGTCTGACACGCTTCCCAACAACTAGTATCAGAGCACAGACAGTACGATTCTAGTTGAAAAGTATGGTATTGGCGCAATGTACTATTCACATGAATAGTGCGACATTATTGCTCATTAATACTAATAGTATTCACAATAGTGAAGTACTATTCATTTATAGTGATAGTACTATTCACCAATAGTGATTATTGTCTACCTTACGGTTAGGATATTTTTTCTTACACATAGTAGTATTTGCGGTTATTATTCACAAGCACTATTCACATAAAAAGAATTTGTGAAAAATGGCATCTGAAGAAGGGAATGTTAAGATTGACAAGTTCAATGGAAAAGATTTTGGATTCTGGAAAATATAAATAGAGGATTATTTGTACCAAAAAAAAATTACACTTGCCTCTGACTAGGGTAAAACTAGAGAATATGGCCAAAGCGGATTGGGATCTATTAGATCGCCAAGCTTTTGGTGTGATTCGTTTGACGCTAACACGAAATGCAGTGTTTAACATCATTAATGAGAAGACCACTGCAAGCTTGATGAAGGTGTTATCAAATATGTACGAGAAGCCATTTACTTCAAATATAGTTTATTTAATGTGTCGATTGTTCAACTTAAAGATGACAGAAGGTGAAGGTGGATCTATTACAGAACATGTCAATGAGTTTAATGTAATATTAACTCAATTGAGTTCTGTTAATATAATATTTGATGACGAAGTCAGGGCGTTGATTCTACTATCTTCTCTACTGGAGAGTTGGTCTGTAACTATAACTGCAGTTAGCAGTTCATCGGATAGTACCAAACTCAAATTGGATGATATTAGAGACTTGGTTCTAAGTGAAGATATTCGCCGGAGAGAATCAAGTGATTCTCCAGGATCTGCTTTTAATACCAAAAGCAGGGGGAGAAGCAGCCAAAGAGGACAAAGTCATCATGCCATATTAAAGTCAAGGAGAAGAGGGCAATCCAAAAATCGCAAAGACATTACTTGTTGGATTGGGATAAAAAAGGTCACTACAATAGTCAGTGTAAAGAACCAAAGAAGAAGAAGGATAAAAATTCAGCAAATGTAATTGCTGAACAAGTCAGTGATGCAGTAATTTAATGTGTAGATAGTCCAGTCGAATCTTGAATTTTGGACTCAAGTGCATCCTTTCATTCTACCTCATGCAAAGAATTATTGCATAATTATATTACTGGAAAATTCGGGAAGGTTTATCTAGCAGACGGCGAACCTCTAGATATTGTCGGAAAAGGTGAATTTCATATAAAGACTTCATAAGTGACGCTATAAAAAATTGTAAAATGTCCAACATGTTCTTGTCCTCAAGAAAAATCTAATATCTATATGTCAGATTGATAGTAAAGGATACATAACACTATTCGATAACGGATCGTTGAAAAAATTCAAAGGAAATTTGGTTGTGTCACAAGGCTTCAAGAAGAAAACATTGTATGAAACCGCAATAAAAAGAGATACTATCGTAGTAGTTGACCATAATCGTGATACAATATTGTGGCACCGAAGGCTCAGACATATGAGTGAAAAGGGAATGAAGTTATTGGCATCGAAAGAAAAGTTGGAAAATCTAAAGCATGTTGAATTAGGTTTGTATGAAGATTGCATTTATGGGAAACAATTAAGATAGTAATTTTCTTAAAGGCGGGAAGGACGCCAAAGAAAGAGAATCTGGAACTAGTGCATACGGATGTGTGGGGACCAGCTCCTATAACTTCTCTATGAGGCTCATGTTAGTCCCAAGGTTTCATATACTAATTTTGATGATACCAAACTAACATAAGATTTAATCAAAGAACATTTACTAGTGGTAAATTTATTTTATTGGTACAAGTTTATTATGGAAAGAAGATGGAAGAATGAAGGTTGATTTACTACAAAATTAAGGAAGGAAATATCTACAATGCATACTACTTTTATGGAGGATATTATTGAGATTTATTGGGATGATTTACCTTGCTGAAAGAAAGTTTCAAAATGTATCAAAGAAGATATGGAAAAGAATTATAGAATATCTTTAAAAGATTGGTACAAGAAAAATAAAAGGAAAGAAATCAGAAGATTGAAGAAGATAACATGGAATATTTCAATAAGGAAATGTGCTATACGTTGATTAAGGAATATTGTGACTATTCAAAAGGACAGAGAATATCTACTAGTGATAAGAGACATCATCATATATAGATTATGGATGAAATTAATAGCAAAGCAAAAGAAGACTTGAAAAACCTTCTAGTACCCACTCTCTGAAGGAAAGAAAATTACCCTTAAATTAAGGGAATGCCAAATTCATGTAGTGCACATGAAAAGGTCCAAGTTCATCAAAGAATAAAGAAGGATTATCTAAGATTATTCCGTAATGAGGAGCTACAGCTAGAAAACTAGTCTTATGAAAAAAGGCCACGTTTGAAGTAATTCAAAGTACCAAGGGATATCATATGCAATAAATTGGTACATGACTCTACACAAGTTGTTCTTATGGACACACTTAGAAGGAAAGAAGAATTATTTCAAGGACTGAAGATCTGAATACTTGAATATAACAATTATTGCACAAGGAAGTAAAGTTAGTAGTGGATCGTGACTTTGTAAATTAAGGGAGCACAATGAAGCGGCAATCAAGTGGCATATCCAGTACTCCAAAGAATGCAAAAGATCCATAATTAAAATGGTCCATTTCCAAAGGAAAGCTTACATTGAGAGAAGATATTCAAGTCTATCATACGGAGCTATGTTAGCAACAGTCAAGAGATCTAAAAGAATATATTACTCCAAGATTCAGGGAAGCAATCAACAAACAGCTACAAGGAATATTGGAAGAATCTTCAAAACTCCGTAGAGTTATACAATAGTTAGAACAAGTTGAAAAGGCTAGCTCTACTAAAGAAGAAAAAGCATCAGCTTCGCAGACAACTTTCCTACTTTTTTTACACCTTAGTTAAACATTGTATTCTTAAGTTTACAAGTGTAATAAAAGATAGAGAGAAAGGGAAAAATACTAAGAGGTTGTGTCGTTGTTCGTTTCTTTGGTGAGCGAGTAAAAACCAAAGTGTTGTTTTTGGTGAGCGAGTGAAAACCAACCCTTTATCGTTTGTTGGTGAGCGAGTGAAAACTGTAACGATACGACTGGTCGTTTTGAGAGTATTAGCCTCGAACCCCTATTTATTGCTCCCTCTATTTTATTTTATGGTTACGTGACTTGTCGGAGGGATTTATTTTTGGTTTTGGAGTGGAATGGGACACAGTCCCTAAAATGAAAGTCTAAGTCGTAGGAATTGACCGTAGTTCAAATTGTATAAAGACGACTCCTGAATGGGGTTTTAATATTTTCAATAGCTCCGTAGGGTGATTTTTGTCTCAGGAGCTTGTTCAGATGTTGAATTGGAGGTCCGTAGATCACTTTAGCGTCAATTGGCGAAAGTTGGAAGATTGGATGATTTTTGGAAAAGTTTGACCGGGAGTGGACTTTTTGATATCGGGGTCGGATTCGATTTCGGAAGTTGAAGTAGGTCCGTAATGTCAATTATGACTTGTGTGCAAAATATGAGATCAATCGGACTTGATTTGGTAGGTTTCGAAATCAGATATAGAAGTTTGAAGTTTTAA